TCCGTCTCTTTGTCTCTCTCTCTCTCTCTCTCTCTCTCTCTCTCTCTCTCTCTCTCTCTCTCTCTCTCTCTCTCTCTCTCTTTCAGGGCCACATAAGCCTTATGTATGCAACTGCGTGCTCATTTTCTTATCGGGGGTAGCGTTTGTGTAGCTGGGAAAGAGACCTTCTCGGGTCTGCGACGCCAAAGGTGATTGGCAGGGCTGCGATGTTCCATGATAAGTATTGGGCGCTCGATTGGCACCTTGGCATCAAAGTGCCCTATTGCGGCCCGGTCGTTTTCTTTAGAGATTCCAGTGGGGCTTACTACCCCAGCGGTGGAGTGAAGAATTACGCCTTTGACAAACTTGAGGTTGCTGAGGAGTACATGAGATTTCACCTCACCACTTGCTTCGACGCTGATGGTAACGAGGAACCGGACAACTACAAACAGGTGTCTTTGCATTTGCAGAAGTTCGTCGGGTACGGCATGCGGGCCGCAGCTATGCCTGGTTTCGATAAGTCGCGGAAAAAACACGGCTCGCAGGTTGTGATGCTCCGTTCTTTCGACTTCCTCAAGAGAATTAACTGCTACAAGGTGTCTAGCCATGTGTGCAAGGTGGAAAGCAAATTGGCGCTCTCGGCACCCCTCATACCGTTCGATATTCAACTTGACGAGTTCGCATCGAAGCTTCGGTCTTATAAATTGCAGGTGTTGGGCCTGGCTATTCTACACAGTGCGATCTCTGTTCGGTCGCCGCATGGCGGTGGGGACCCGGGTGCTCGACAAAATAGCTCTGTGAAAATTACCGAATGTGACAAGGTCGTAGAGAAGTCAGAGCCTATCCAGAAGTCTGATCTCGAGCCGGGTTCTCTAACGAATACGGTGTCCAAACGGTCCGCGTCGGGTTTGAAGCGAGGGCAAGGTCCGGCGAAAGTTTCATCTTCACGTCATGCTGGTGGCAGCGAACTTCCGGAGGAGTCTGAGAAGACGGAGGACGACTTATCAGCTAAGCAACATGTGGTTCAGTGAAATGCTGAAGGGAACGAAGGACATGACGAAGATGAAGACAAACAGCTCACTGGCTACGACGGTGCTGACGGTGACGAACAGGGAGTCGGGGACGACGAGGAAGGGGGGGGGAAAGATGAGGATGGGGGGACGACGACGAAGGTGGGGATGATGAGGAAGACGGTGACGACCATCGTGGCCTCGAAGACGGCGATGACGACGAGGGACCTGGGGGTGGGGGGGAGGAGGACGAAGACAACTACGAAGCGGGGAGCGAAGGGGATCAGGACGAAGCCAATGACCACGGAGTGTTTGTTAATGAGTCTCGCAAATGAGCCGACAGTCAGAGGATTCGCTCTAGAGACGAGGCCGTCCTCAACACACAAAGATCAGTATGCTCGCGCAAGAGAAAATCGAGAGCTAGCGGTGATGAGGACCAGAGGCGAAGACAGTCGAAGTTGATAGGTTTAGCAGCTTCGGAGGAGGCGTATAAGAAGGCATTGGATGCACAGTCGGCGAAGCCAGTGAAGGAAAAGCGCGAACGACCACGCTCTTCCCAACGACCAAAGAAGAAAGCGAAGACAGACTGTGCAAAGGAAGTTGCAGACTCCGGGGACGAGGCAGTCGGGGTTGACCCTCGAGATAATACATCCAAACCGTTATAATTGGTGTCGGATGCTATCGACACAACGAGATGTTTCTTTCTGGAGTATGATGACGATGGCAATGCGATCGACCGACCTGCCCAGGGGTTCGTAGATGTCCGCAAGATTTTGCCAAACCCAGACGGCGGGGAATTCTAGTACAATCACAGACCCCTGAACGAGATGTTGGTCGCCTCCATCAAAGACGCTATGGAACGGCCAGAGAAACAGAAAGAGTGGGACAGAAACACATTCACTCTGGCTCCTGTTATAGAAGTCATGCGGAACGGGCAGAAACAGTGGCAACGTTTGAAACCCAAGGAGTGGAGGGACGAGGATGTCAGTTCGTACCATTGGTACGCCATGGCAGGCCAACACACGGCGAAAGCTGCGAAGAGATTGGAGGTAGCGAACTCTCCAGCTGCCAGGAAATGGGGCGTGCGGTCCTGGAAAGCGCATGCGGTGTACTTCGATGATGACCATCTTGACGGGTATGCCTACATTTCCACATTTAACAACACGAGGGAGACTCGATCTATCCCGTCGTCGTTCAGAATGGCTGTCACCGCAATAAGAGGGTTGTGGCATCATATGAAATGCCCGAAGGGTGACTGGCATCTGGTGAAAACAAAAGATGACAAGGTGGCGCATCAACAGAACTATCACGCTTTCCTGCGCAAAGCGATATGGATGACACCAGACACCGAGCTCTGGAATCAGTCGCTAAACAATAAATTGGTCCGTAATTGGTCCAACCTCTTGAGGCCGTTCATGTGCCTTGCCACCACTGGCAACGCAGTGTGGCAGTTGGTGAACCGGTTCTTCGACATGTGGGAGAAAGGGGAATTGCCTGGCCAAGATGGAGTCAGGCCGGTTGATCAAGAGGGGAGGCCGGGCGAGGCGTCCGCTGCAGGTCCAGCTGCCAAAACAGTGAAACGGAAAAAGGAACTGGTGCACTACGTGCAGTCGAACAAAAGTCCGAATGGGTACTATGTGTGTGTTCATGACCCTCCGGCGAGCGCTTGCTGCCAGGGAGAAGGAGATGGCATTGGATATGATTTTGGCAGGGAAGGTCGTTGTCACCACCGGCAGGACTTTCGTAAAGAAACTGATGAACATGAACGACCTCGACACAGAAGTGCGTAGGGAGAGATACATGGTGCGCATGTTCAACTACGTGCTCTTCAAGTCGGAACGCAGGGGACAGCGTGAGTGGAATGACGATTTCTTCATCGGGTATGATGATATTATGAAGAGATTTGAGCCGCACGGGTTGACGAAAGAGAAATGGGAGAAGAAGAAGATGAAACTTCCAGTTGACAGAACGAACAACGTGCCGAAACGACTGGGGGGGGTGGATGAGGGRAAGTTGGGACARGGGAATRTGGGGGGGTWCAAGGTGAYRACTGAAATGTATATCGAGTRCCCGTACTTCCTSAAACTGTTTCWGCATGAGATAGTGGGAGCGGTGAGCCAGTTGAAGGACGAGCTTCAGCGSGTCAAYRCAAATGCACAGCATATACTGTGGGATAAGCGGAAGTGTAATACAACGTATTTGCCTGTGTACATGGCGCCGTTGGATGGGCTGCAACCGACAGAGGATTTGAATCGTGCTGTGAAGAAATTGAGTTGTCACCTTGCGGTGCTGGACCTGGATCCCCACAAGAACCTGGATTCATGGACGGAGCAGAGGTTTGTGGAACTTCAGCAAATGATGATGGCTGTGTGTGGGACACATTGGACACTCATCATTTTCAGTGGATTGAAGGGCGAGGACTACATTCTGAGGAACATCTTCAGGTGGGGGGGTGTGAAAGTTCTTCCGAGCAGTTGGCGGCGGCATCATGGCACACAACCATCCTCATGTGTCCCCCTTGGGAATCTTCCATTGAGGAGCCACGACTCGATGACGATTGTGTTGCACGACACGGGCAATGACTTCAAAAAAGTCACCGTCCCGTCCAAAAGTGACAATGTGTTTTTTGACACTAACTACGAGGAGGATATGTTCGTCCGTTGCACACAACAGCACATCGGCGTGGCCGGCGAAGACAAACCTGTTTATGGGGTTTGGGAAAGAGAGCCAGCAAGAATGAAGGAGTTGTGTTCATGGTTTTTGAAGGAGGGGGAGGGTGTGCTTCTTCTGGGTGACGTCCAGTCTGGGTCAGTTTGGGACTTGCTTCGATCTGGCCGTCATGTGGTGGCATGTGACGACTCTACCACCATGCTCGAATTTTGTTCGGCGTTTATTGATCGCCTCGTCCATAATCCCGAAAGTCGTTGTCACTTCGAGCGGCCCAAAACTCAGCATCGGTCGGACCGAGACATGTTCCTGAAACTCGAGAAGAAGAGAGAATCTTTGTGGAAGTACTTGTTCTGCAATGCTCCTGATACACGAACGGAGACTGATTACGTTGCTAGAAAAGTCGTCACTCTCCAACACCTCCAGCGGTACCACGACGCCAAGATTGGTGCAATCGAGATATTTCTGGCACGTTGCGAGGACCTGTGGTTCGACAGAAAAATGCGCCGCATCGACGCAAGGATTTATAACGAAGCGTTGGAGCCTCAAGACCGTTTCGATATAATGGACAGTGAAGAGGATACCAATGATGACGAGATCCACCTGCCGCTGCCTGATGCAAGAAACCACGCAGCTGACGAGAACATGCGCACTGGGTCCTTATCGGAGGGGGACCCGATGGTGGTTGAAGTCGGGGGACCGACAATGGCCAGCTGCAAGACCGCCCAGCTCACACACACGCAGACGTCATCCGTAGGAGATGGTACCGAGGCAAGCATTTCGAAATGGAAAGACAAGAGAGGCGCCCCAGGGTTTCCAATGCTGATGCGAAAAATGTTCAACCAAGTCATGAAAATGCAAACAAAGAACCAAACTCATGGTCAACATGACGACGCAGGCCCTGGGGAGGATAACATGGGTCTGGAGGACAATCCGTTGTTCCATATTCCAGACGACGAGGACAAAGATCTAACTCTTGGAGATGAAATCGAAAGTCACATGAAGGAGAGCACAGGGGGACCTCACTTTTTGGACACCAAGTTCACAGAGACTGAGGTGTACAAATGGGGCCATCACATCATATGGCATCCGGGTCTTTTCGAGCCATGTGTGTTTGATGGCAAATGACACATGGCTGTCCGAGTCAGAGGGAAGTGGATATTCAAGAAGAGACTGAGCAGGAGTAAGTTCCTTGAGACTGCAAAGGAACAGTTGTTGCTGCGCGTGCTGCAGGCAAACAAGGGTGCAGGAGAGCAAGATATYAGCGAAAAGGTGAACTCCGTATTTGAATCRYTGCTTCAARACAATCTTCTGGAGTATTGYGCTGCTTTCTATGAGAGAMAATYGAGCCCTTCACGAGGAMAGATCAGATGGACATTGGAGTGTCGTCAGACGGAACAACTGTACGACAGTGACATATTGGTGGGGTGCACTCAAGCCATGGAAGAGAATATCCGACAGTGTAAGAGTTTAAATGGGACTAGACAAGGAGACGTTAAGACGAGTGTTGCTGAAAAGGAAGGGCGTGAGAGGAAGGACGTCGAATGTAAAGAACAGGGAACTCATGAGGCATCAGTTGATGAGCTACTCAAAATCCGTTTTCATAGGGCGTTGGTGCGGTGCCAGGGGAAAAGACGGCAGGTCCGGGATGCGGTGGGGAAGGGGCAGGAAATACAAAGGAACAGGCGGAAAAGGACGCCACAACCGACGAAGATGCGGGAGATGCCGGAGATGGGGGTGCCCAGCGGGTGCCGAGTGGACTGGGAGACCCGCTTTCGGCAGCCAACACAGACATGTCGTCACATGGTGGACGTAGTGGGGGGGAGCACGATGCGGGAGATGCACTGGTAGTCGGAGGAGCAAGCCTGCAGGACACTACCGAGTCTTCAGCGGATAACAGAGTTGAGGGGGACAAACTTCTGCACATGGTATGCACTGGCTCTGGCTCGCAGATAGCCCCAGACTCAATGGAGAGGGAAGAAGGTGGTGGTATGGAGGGAGTTCGTATGGCACATGGTCGTGAAGTGGGAGATGATGATGAGGAAGCTGACACGGATGCGAACCTTGATCACAACATGGACGTGGACAGCGAGGATGGTTTGGGAAAGGAAGCTTCCTGTCGTGGCCGATCCGGTGGCAGCAGCTCGAATGTGATCAACTTGATCGAGCAATCAGGTGAGAACGGAGGAAAGTCACACAGTGAAGGAAGAACGTTGTCATCAGCCAAGCCAACACAAATGGACCATGCTTTGCATGATGGGAGTAAGGGAAGGTGCAGTCCGAAGCGTGAAACAAGAGAGGAAAAAGAGGAATGAAGTGTGCGGCGCTCAAAGAGAGGCAGGGAGAAGAAAGCAGCATAGCACACATGCATGTGCATGTGTGTAAGTCTTGCAGTAAAGTGTGTGTGTGTGTGTATGTGCATATGCGTATGTGTGTGAGCGTATCTGTGTGTGTGAATGTTTCGTGTGTGTGTGCCTGTGTGTGTGTGTGTGTGTGTGTGTGTGTATGTGTGTGTGTGTGTGTGTGTGTGTGTGTGTGTGTGTGTGTGTGTGTGTGTGTGTGTGTGTGTG